AACTCTTATAGATACTAGGTAGTAGATACAATAATGAAGTTTGAAATTCAATGAGTTTCTAGTACGGCTTGTGCTATTTGGTACTGAACAAATGCAACTTTAATGTAACTACGTGGTCTGACATGCATAAAGGCGAGTTTCAAGTAGAAAATTTTAACGTCACAATGTAGAAAATGTTCCAATTGTATACACTGTGACATGTGTACATTATGAAATTGTAACATCAATTGTACATTCTGACGTTGCACAGAGAAACAATTTTCTACATTCTGACGTCAAATAAAAGAATCTCGTGATATGATCATACATATTCTTTATCAGTTCAATAATTAACCGCTTTAAACAAATGGAAGGTTAATTTACAAAGCCTAATTAAGTACATCATACAAGAGATTGATAGATAGAAATCTAGTGTATATAGTTATAATTTAATAGCATTTAGATTATTTTGAGGGTCCCAATAATGTACTATTGAATTGTTATTATAATTTTTATTTATTAGCAAATAAGTTCCGTTAACTGCCGTGTCTATTTTTATCGGAAAACGACAGCTGTAATATACCGCAAATTTTTACTATTATTAAAATTCTATGCTATAACTTTGAACAATTTATTTTAACATTACTGTAATACGCTTACTGTAATATTGTTTGTAATATGCAATAGTGTTTTTATATTACAACTTTTGTATAGATACTAAAATAATAATTATGTTTTTTAGCCTACTAACGTTATTTTACGACGAGGAACTTGACTAGTTTCAAGCCATGCTAGAGGCTCTTTATGAGCATTCTGTGATCCGTGACGAGGTGACTGCCACGCTGCTACTGAGTCTAGAAACTAATCGAGTTCCTCGTCAAATAATTACGTGTGTGAGCCAAGAAACATAACAATTAATGTGCAATATTGTTGTTAATTAGTATCACTAGTCAATCGAGTTCATTTTTGGGACTCCTCAGCATAGGCATATCGTACATTTGGTACTTGGTGCGTCAGATAATAATTGTAAGGATACTTTTAGAATACTACATACTAGCTTGTATTTGTAAAGGAAAAATTCAAATCGAATTAATTTTACTTTATAGAGTCGAATCTTAAACTTTTATAGAGTGGCCACTACGTCGTACAGTCATTGTTTGTTTGTTGTATTATTGGTGAACTCAAACTTCTGCAAATCTTTGGAGTCTTGTAAAGAACATAAATAAACATAGGAAGACAAAAATTGAGCAGTAAGCTCTTTGAAATATTTGTTTAATGAAACAGTGTCTTGATAACATATCGATGTCAAATTCATAAATGATACCTGTTTTAATAAAATACTTCAGTGATCGTTAGGAAATATATTTTATAATTTATATGAGATTCTGGCCAACAGGCTAGTGTTAAAAATCAGCGCCATGACTCGAGTAATCGCGCTCGTGACACGGCATTTTAGCTGACCACTGACCTTTTTGCACCGTGTACATACATTGTTGATTTTTTAATATTTTTTTCTTGTTTCTTCTGTAATGGTGCAAATAAACTGTTTTTCTTTCTTTAGCAAAATCTGTTTCATTGCTTTTGTTCGAAAGTAATTAAAGAAACACAAGTAAAATGAGTTCTAATATTTTCAGTTATAACGCTCATAATTGTTTAATTTTCATTGATGATCGTAGTTTTTTATGATCATTTAGAATGACAATGTAACTGCCTAGTAGTGGCATCGCTAAGCGAACTACAGAAGACTAGTAAATTCAAGCTTATATATACATAGTACTATGTGAGAACTTGAAGACAGATGTTCATATAAATATTTTATATATACGTCATAAGCATGCCCTTATCACAGATTATGACCTAAACGATGTCCGGTGGGTACCGATATGTCGTTATATTTATATAGCAAGTATCATTATTCTCCGTTATCGTTATATTGTAAATTGAAAGATTTCACCACATTTATTATGATCGCATTAGATGCAATGTTCAAAATAAAGATAAGTTTCATGTATCCCATATGTTTAAGATTCTATTTCTTTTATATAATTACCTAGCTTCTAGTACGAGGCACTATTTTTATATAATATAAAAAACTGTCGCGACGAATAGCTAAATTCAAGCTATACTATTCATTTGACATTAAATTAAATTGTATCCGGGCTATATTAAGTAACCTATATTAGAATAAGGACAATGCAAGCTACACACTGCCATTGTCCTTTTTGAAATACATATATACATGTTATTAAACAAATTTTTATTCTGAACACCGCTACTAAAACATACTATGTCATTTAAATAGTTATATTGGCAATAATGTTATGGAACATTTGCACACAGATAAAACATGTGCCTACACAACATACCGAAAGTCTACATCTCATGATTAGAACATTATTTTTTATAACTCATTACTTATTGTGATTGGTTACACATACATCCGCCAATCAGGGTGCTTACTCTTTAAACCAATCTCAATGTCAATGAAATTTCAATCCAATAAAATCTCAATAATTATTCAATGTCAACACTATACAACCCCTATCGCAGCTGTTAAAATAGCATTCATAGTACGGGATATAAAGCTAAACTTAATACCATTTAGTCCAATAAATATCCACACTATACGGATGCAATGGGCACTAGTGTTGTAACTCAAGAGTACGAAATTTCACAATATCAATGTCGATGGATCGGAATTGGATTCAAGAGTAAGCCCCCTGGTCTTCTTATTTTTCATCTTCCATCGTTCAGAAACGAGACGTCGACGTCATATTGTAGAAAATAATTGACAACACTCCTGCATGACATTCTACAATATGAACTTATTACCACGTCGACTTGTAAACAAATGTTCCAAACAAATTCACGTCAGCGTGTAAACTTTATATAGTATAAATTCTATCATACGTAGATGATAACTAGTTCAACTAAAATTTTTCTTGTTGATATATGAAGCGAACTTTTAAGTATTTCATGGTTTACTTGTGCGTATATTAAAAGAGTTTGTGGCTAGAGAAGTGCCAATGGACATGTATTGTACTATCACGAAGTTTCTATTGTACTTTCATGTCACTTCTCTATGCCACCTGTCTGTAGTCCAATAATGCTTCCTTCATCATTTGAGCGACACGTGGTCTGAAGTGTTAAAGCTTAACAATATAAATATTTAACTATCTATTCTAGTCTATTTATTGCTATGTCAAATAGGCGGGTTATTAATATAAAACTTTTTGGATTTCAACAATTGAACTTACCATCATTGTATTAAAGTTTCTCATGAGTCATAGATAACAGAGTGGTGTGCAGAAGCGGAAAGTAAATATGAAACAGAAACTATGGACGGTTGACAAGATGTTTTTAACTTTATAAAATTTACTGAACCGTGCCCTTTAAATGTTAAGAAGAGATATTTGAAGAAATAGTCGTAACATTAAGAATTGACTTGCCAGATGCAACCCCAATCATTTCTGCCGAAAGTCAATAGATGGAACGAAGTATGGAGGATCATTATAATTAAAGATAGAATTCATAGAGATAGTGTAAACTCTAACTACCGTATTATATTGTAGAGCGGGACAGATGTGTCCTCGGATAGTCTATAACACTATATGTAAGCATAGTCCGCTAACAGGATGATAAAATGACTTTTTTAACATTTTCATTTTTTTCTGTTAATTTATAAAAATCGAAGCTAAATGTTACTGAGTTTGTAAAACTCTTAGGCACATTTTATGGAATGAGATTTTTATTAAAACTTTTACATTTGCCCCGCTCTTCCACCCTCTATGTGTGTATGTACAATCTAGATGTTTGTGCGGGCCACACACACTTACATCAAACGCTTTCATTACAACGATACATTTAAATATAAATCATCCACATGGACCGACGGTCTGCGACCGAACAGATGAACTGAACGAGAGAACTGAAGTAGAACACAACGCGTTCAATATTTACAAACACAACTTACACGTTACATTAACGATAGATCAAGAACTTAGCCTTAAAACTTCGTAAAAGCGCCATCGAGTTAAACAACTAACATTCATATAAATAACTACAGTCTCTATAATGGCTAAATATTTATTTTGGATACAAAAATGTTGTACCTCGACAATTTACAATGCAATAATTCTTATTTTTATGATCAGAACAACTGAAGCATCAATATTTATAGGAATTGTATTCTTCGTTAATTGTTCTACTGTCTTAAGTTTCCCTTATGTATATTTGGTGCTCGTAAATCTCTCGTCATTTCGTTCAATACATCTATTACAAGCATTCATTTAAAAACATCTAAACGAAACTACATAGCAAAGCAACAACAAAGTAAATGAATATTTGAGCAATATCTTACTGCTTGTGCTATGGCAACTAGACAACTAAAATATAAAACTAAATAATTCACAACGCTAAAGTAACTTTCTTATAATACTTACGTTTTTATAAATGTTTTTCTCGTTGCAGCGAACTATGGCAATTTTTATTTTATTTCAGTAAATCATAGATTATTAAATTTAATTATTCATATAAAATAATTAAATAAATAATCTTTAAATCACGTCACATTGTAAAAAGCATTCTAAAATTGTGTCGTATAAAATTATTTATACATTATGACATTTTCCGACGCTTGCACGTTACGTTATTATGTTTATGTCAACGTCAGAATGTCAAAGTCAATGTTACAATGTGACGTCGAATTTACATTTTTTAATCTGTGACGTAGCATAGTTTGCTGCAACCGAGGTGCAATATTGCTGGAAGTACCAACTCGCTACGATTTGACTGCCGACTATTTGTTTTAGGTAAACAATTCTAGCATTCTCAACTATTTACCATACACTATTTTAAATTGCCCCCCCATCGCTAACTCTACAATAAAACGTTCAATCAGCTTTTCTATTTCGAATTAAAACTCTTTCGTGTTTCCCAAAACGAATAGTCACCATCAAAGGCTCAACATTGAAAATCCATTCCTTATTTAATAGAGAAGACCAAAAGGCGAGAAGACCAGTCTATTCGCTCGGACAGTGGAGGTAGCCGTATTCGAGGCCGAGACTGACTCCCACGAAGACGAAATAGAGAAGGAACATGGTGAACCCTAGACCCTTGTTCATCTTCCACCTGAAGCAGGCGATGCTGAGGATGACGAACAGCAGCATGGCAAAGAGCAGCACTATGCTGCAGACCATGCCTTTAGAGTTGACTTGGACTGGCTCGCCGTTGATCAGACCGTACAGGAGCCATGGAAGAGGTAGCCTGGAACAGTTAAATATTCAAATGAGTACATAATTAAATCCTGGTATTTATTCTGAAAGAAGTAATTCAGAGTCAGTCAGAGTCAGTTGGCAGAATGATCACTACTTTATTTATTTATTTATTTATTTATTTATTAAGAGTTACCAACATTTGATTACACAACTACAGTAAGCATAATACAAGCAAGCAAAGAGGAATGAGCCTATGTGTAACAAACAATTACAGGTAACCACAACATTTACTGGTACAAATATGTGTATATAAAAAAAAGTTCTTAATTACTATCCTTAAGTCTAGTTCTAACACAAAATACTAAACCATATAGGTACATAATCCACTATCTGTGTAGATTGGATAATATGCATTTATGCACGCTGGAACGGAACCGACCAAGCGAGTCCAAGTGAACATCCGTGGAATCAGAGTATTTATTCAGGGCGTGACTCAGACGTGGTATGGGTGAGTTTGCACCAAGCACTGTTCTACGACGCGTGGGTATAAAGGGGTTATCTGTTTACGAGGGTAACAAAAAGGAACTCTATAATTTACCTTGCTCAAGAGCTGTGGACAGTCTACACCATTGTTTAAAATCTTATACATAAAGATACAATCGGAGAGTTCTCTGCGATCAGATAAAGAGACCATCCCGAAATGTGACAGTTTGTTCAAGTAAGAAGATTTTTTGTCTATCTTGTTCTCCCTGCGTAACAAATGCCATAAGAACCTCTTCTGAATGCGTTCTAATCGAAGGGAATGTACCGCATAATGTGGTCTCCACACTACACTGCAATAATCTAAGATACTTCGCACAAGACTATTATACAGCATGATTTTCAGCCCAACATCGCGAAAGACTTTACAGTTTCTTATCACGAAACTCAACATTCGGGAAGATCTCCCCACAATGTTTTCCAGGTGAGGGAGGAAAGTCAACCTTTTATCAAAACAAACTCCGAGGTCCCTAATTTGGTCTACAGCCTGAATTCTGTCACCTCCTATGAAATAATCAAAGCCTATTATTTTGCTTTTTCTAGAAAACTTAACATGAAAACATTTTTTTCCGTTCAAATCCATACCATTACAATAGCACCATTCAGTCAATCTACAGAGATCGCTCTGAAGGAGCATGGCATCTTTTTCTGATTCTATTATCCTCCCCAACTTTAAGTCGTCAGCATACATAAAGCTCTCAGAGAATTGGAAACATGTCGGCAAATCATTTATAAACACGTTAAAAAGTATTGGACCCAGATGGGAACCCTGCGGCACCCCAGATGTAACCCTCCAATTGCTAGATCGAAAGCCATTGACAACGACAAAAGAAGAACGCTCAGCAAGATATGATTGCACCCATTCCAGCGAGGCACCCGCTAACCCGTATGTGCAAAGTTTCGCACCAGCAACCGATGTGGGACGCGGTCGAAAGCCTTACTAAAGTCCGTGTAAACCACATCGTATTGTTTGTTAGAGTCTATAGCTTCAGTCGCCATCTCAGTGAACGTGACTAGATTGGTACAGGTTGATCTTTTTTTAACAAATCCATGTTGGCTACTACTAATATACCTACTAAAGTGACTTTGAATGTAGGGGCACACCAGAGCTTCAAATATTTTTGCAAAGGTCGAGAGAATCGAGATTGGCCTGTAATTACTTACAACTGTCTTACTATTACATTTATGAATAGGTACAACCATAGCAACTTTCCATTCAGCTGGGAAGACTCCAGTCCTAAGGGACTCATTAAAAATTAACAGAAGTGGGCTTACCAAATATTTAGCACAGGTCGATATGAACACCGGGGGTATTCCATCAGGTCCTGCACCCTTATTACAGTCCAAGTTCTTTAACCTAGTGAGAAGTGAATCATACTCTATAGCAGGGAATGTCATATTTAAACCGTAACTATGCATATTATTTAAAAAGAGATTATTATTGTTGTCATGCGACACCACACCCCCAGCACTTTTGGTATGTGTATATACCGACGCAAAACAACGCGCAAACAATTCGCATATATTCGACCCGTTCGAAGTCGTTATCGTCCCATCAGTCATTGCTACAGGATACGAGCATGAACTACCCCGCCTAGCTTTGACATAAGACCAAAAGAACTTAGGATTATTTTTAATCTTTCTCTCCAAATCAACTATATAATTTCGATAGCATATATCTGCCACCTTCCCACAACGCCTACTTACCAGTTTGAGCTCTATCTCATCCATAGGATTTTTGTATTTTTTGTATCGGTTTCTAAGTTTATATTTTTCTTTCAGCATTCCTATTAGATTCCTATCAAACCATACAGGGTAGCGAGTGCATCTCTTTCTGCACTTTGGTACGAACTTCTCAATTGCTGTACGAATATATTGATAAAAGACATCAAGCAACACATCGACACTATTCAAACCCTTGAATATTTCACTCCAATTCAGTTCAGCCAAAAACCTGTGAATCCGAACATAATCTGCTTTATAGTAGTTATATTTGTGTTACCAGTGCTAAAAGAGAGACCCTCCTCAAATTCAACAGGAATGTCTATTTCCAGAGGTGGATGCAATTTATCGATTGTACTCAAACCATTTGAACATTCCGTCACACAACAAGAAGGCAAATCACTAATCACCAAGTCAAGTATTCGCCCGGACTTGTTACAGATGCTATTATGCTGAGTCAGCTCATTCAAATTCATAAAATCAATTAAAGTTCGACTAACGGTAGGAACGATGTAAACACTAGAAGAATCACGTAGTCGGTCCCAGTCCACAAGCCCTTGATTAAAATCACCCACAATAACGGTACACATATCATCTATTTTATCAAAGATTTTATTACATTGATCCACAAAATGTTCCAATACAGATCGTTGCACTGGAGGTGGCAAATAAACAGCGCAGAGAGCCATTCGATGCCAGGCACCCCCCTTAACAATATCTATAGTTATCCATAAATCCTCACAATTACTATCCCATTTATACATACGTTCACATTTTATTTTTTTAGACACTGCTATCAGTACGCCACCCCCATCCTTTGTATTATTAAATTCACATTTCTCCCTATCCCTTCTATATACATTGTACCTGTCATCGAAAAGCTCACCACTCAGTACCTTATCATTAAGCCACGTCTCCGTAAGAATAACAATATCATAACCCACACAACATAAGTTACGATAGAACTCGTGGGTTTTTGTTCGTAATCCGCGTGTGTTTTGGTAATATAAACTTAAATGAGAGAATTTTAATTATAATTTCAAATAACCAATACAATTGCTGTGCGGCGGGTATTAAACTAACTTATCTAGAGCTGCCATATTTTTCACACTACTTTGCAGCACTTGACATCGGATGGATGATCCGATTTTATACTCCAGAATATTTGTATTTCTTAGAATACAACAGAGTCTCCAATCCAAAAAGTTTTAAGTTATAAAATAACTATCGTGGGACTAAATTAACTAAAATCCCGGGTTACTCACATAAATAAACTGAGAAAAGCTCTACTAATCGCTCGCCACGACCGCGCACGCTGCTCATGAGCAAGAACCCTTCTGTGGTTCGAAACTAGTAGAGCTTTTCTCCGTATATCCACGTAAGTAACCCGCGATTTTAGTTAATTTTTCAAGTTGCTGGAAATTGAAAAATAATCCAATGATTGCCGTCAGGAATCGAAACCGACAGAATAGGTACAATAACGCAGCGGTCAGTATCAGTAGAGTAAAGAAAATTTTATTGAGTTGGCTCTTTAAAACAAACACAAGAACATAATAAAGTTAAATGAATTGACAAAGTTTTAAGGAGTTTAAGATATAATCATTTATCAAGAAGAGAAAATCATTGCAAGTGTCGATTCGGAATGATAGCGAAATAAAACGAGCAGCAGACACGATGTCTTAAAGAATTATCTGTATATAGAGGTATAAAAGAAAGTCGCGTTAGTTACACCACTAATAACTCAAGAACGGCAGAACAGATTTGGCTGAAAATTGGTAGGGAGGTAGCTTAGAGCCAGGAGACCGACATAGGATACTTTTTAACCAATTTTTTTTTTACTTTTTACCGAAAATCACGAACGGGGACGGGAAAAAATGGAATTACGCGTATGAAGTCGCGGGCAGAAGCTAGTTTTTGATAGATAACAATTTGATTGATATTTTAACTTACAGGTGTACTTTGTTTCATTACGTTTTAAGCTATTATTGTATGTAAGTATTTTTCAATTATGACTAAGTGTGTGTAACCATGCTTCGGCACGAATGGGCCGACCGGAGTGATACTACGGCCTCACTGAATACTGACGTGAAACTACGCTTGCGTGTGAGTTAAGTTACCGGAGGCCCTCAATGACCCTCAATGACCATCCCCTCTTCTTTCTCAATCCCCCCAATCCCTGAATTCCCAACAATACTTAACTTCCTAATCTCCAAAAGGCCGGGCGATGCCGATTGATTACCATCAGGTGACCCGTCTGCTCTTTTACGGGCTTATGCCATAAAAAGAGATATCCATACTCCTCTCGCGAGTGCCGTAAGAGTAGCCGACTATGAGACTATAAGGAGGTGCACCCAAAGTCTAGCAGTAAGTGGTGCACAGACTGCTATTGGTGATTTACAATTTACAATATTGTAATAGAATAAGACATTTCCGATCCACAATTAACATTTAAGACCTCAGTCTTTCGATTATAACCTCTCGACCGTCAAGGCAGTTCAATTTAGTACTTGCAGCTACCTCAAAAATAACGTAGTACTAAACTAAAGCAAACTAGGTCACGATAGTAGTAGAAAATATTATTTGAAATTTTTATTAGCGCTTACTTATTGTAATGGGTGGCTATAGTGGAAGGAGCATAAAACTAAATTGGTTATAATTTAGAATTTTTATTGTTAGTGTAATTTTCTTACAAGGGCAGCGTTTGATAGGTTAGAGTGTATGGGACTTTTACGGCTTGGCTTTGTCGAAGAATAAATAAGGTGACAGCAGAGTAGACTGCATTTCTAT